AATGGAGCAACCAGAAAACGCATGATCCGTTAATCAAATCCGAGGGCCCGTCCGAACCACGCCCTCTAGGTATTTTTTCCCTCACAGATCACCTAACTGGAGCCTTGCTTGCCTCGGAGGATCAAAACCCTAAAGTAAGTAGTACTCTAAAGTGAATGTTATATCCGTAACAAGTCATTGTATAGGCAATATCATATTGAAAGCCGCTTCGATTTTGAATGGAAGTGGCAGCACGGCGCATCCAAAGGGATTTATAAGAGGGGAACGCTTCATGCTTTCATTGCCGCTGCATATCAGTGGATCTTCCAGTGCTCATCAATATGACGACTGCGGCCGTAAATTGAAGCCGAGTGCATGGCGCAGCAATAATCCACAATAAACAAAACTTCAAGCTCACTATCTTTTTACCTTAATTTCCTTATGTGGTGTAGATTTATGAGTTGGTTTCATTGAAGGTGATTGGCGACAATCGGAAAAGAACAGACGTGCAGGATTCAGTGGACCGATTTTTGGTCCAACCAGTCTTGTGATCAACAATGAATGCGGTGGTGAGGATCCGGAAGAACCAGGTAGGACTTGAGTTGATATTGACTTGCCTAATTCCTCCGTGGAGCTTTTATATGTTTAGATTTTTTAGATATCGAAAAATACTGTATTATTGTCAACAACCCTATTTTCTCTTTTTGGGGGTTGCTTCTCAAGATAGGCCGCGTTCAGACTTCGCGACAGAGAATGTTTCGAGCGAAGCACCCGCTTCAAGCGGAACGCACTTTTCACATCGCAACCTCTCGACGCCGCCTTCGCTGTGCGATGGGCTTCTTGATTGACATCAGACAGCAGTGCAGTAGAACACTACCAAGAGCTATCCATGCGTTTTCAATCCACTTTTTCTTTTTACTTTTCGTTCACATGGACCCTGCTTTCCAGAATAATAAAAAGTCTATAATGAAATTTCATTCTATGTGGTCCGGGTGAATCACGGCGAATCAAGGCATTCAAATGGTTCTGCAATTACTTTGATGTGCCTGCCGGCCCAGAACGATCGCTCAGCTGCAAGGGTTTGTGGAGAAAGCGTTTCTCTTTTAAAAACTGTCAGGAATCCTTTTTATTTGCAGGGATGTTGGACGGTTTCGACGCTATTCAGCACATGTATTCGTGGCAACCGGACTGGGGAAACATGTGGAGGTCTAGACCATGCGACTGCGAACCCGCACCCATACGGAGGCAAGCCATAGTTATTCAATTTCACATCTCGATCCTATCGTCGGAATGGCAGTGCAGAACCGAATTAATTCTTCGGCGAAGCGGCCCCTTACCAAGTTGCGAAGAATCTTGTATTTAAGACAACCTTTCGCGGAAGCCCTCTAATACGCCTCTTCCCCCTTTTCCTCTGCCAACTGTCGACTGTGCTCCGATGAAAGTGCTGTACATAGTGTCTTTTAGCCCGATATCACTTGACACACTTCACTCCCACTCCAAAACTCCTCCAGAGCGAATTTTCGTTCATTTCATGTTTTTTTTTCGTGAGAATTGTGAAAATGTCCCCCTCTATTCCAATAACCGACCCCCTTTCCAAATGCGTACTCTTATCACTTTCTTACCACGACCCTTCAGAAACTCCAAATATTAAGCGATCCCTTCCAAAAATGTTAAGTATGACCTCCCTACATTTGATAAAGGACCAACAGACGGTTAATCCTGGTTGTAGTTAGGATCCATTCTACGTCAGTGCTAGGATGTACTGAACAGGACGTTCGCCTTCCCAATGTCGAACGTTGATACGACCTTTTTTGAAAACTGGCAGAATACTGATCTAAGTATATTCTGCCTTCTGAACTTTATTATGTAGCGCGTCAAAGGCACCCAAATGTCTCCACGATTCCATCTAAAGATTAGGAATGGATGAATCGAATTCACCATAACTTCGTATAATGAATCCTCTGTTGTATTTTGTGATTTCTATCTAATTTAATCACTGTACATGTAACTCTTTCTTATGAGCGTTGCCCTTCTTATTTGGTTTTCGTCAGGCGCACTGCCATACTACGATCCGAAGCTCTACCCGAGCAAATATGCCAAAGACAATGATCGGAACCGTCTCAGATGTGTCTATAGCATTTACGAAAGTCCTAGTACTTTTCGATTAGACGAAGGTAAGATAACACTACTAGTACTTGTGTGGACACTTGTGCCACTAGCTTGTGTTCATAGTCGGCGAAATAACGTGCCATGTCTTCGCCGCGATCAATAGGCGAGGGCATGGCACGCAGTTCCGCTAAGCGAATGAATGCAATCGATACATGCGCATCCGGCGTTTAAACTAGTACGCTCGAGCCAATTCTAGCAACGAATCTATATAGTGCAGGCAGCGTTTATAGACAAGCTTAATAATTCAGGAAATGCGCCGTGTCTCAAACATAAGCCGAAAATCAGCCTCACGAAGACTGGATTCAAGGACTAGACTAGTACTATAAACACATTTTTGGTACGAGATACTCTGTTTTTAACACATTGACGACCGCGCGCGTTTTGGCTTTTTTGGCCGTGTGGGACCGGGCCGATTTTGCGAGTGCGACCGCCGCACCTCGGATCCGTGAATTTTTATTGATAACTTTTTAAAGCACCAGTGGTACAAAAACATCTCAGTAACAGTCAATGCGTAGAAGGTAATAGAGTATATAGTGACGAAGTTCCGATTAAAGAACATGTAATGGTAATGAAAAAGGAAACTTTAGTCATTTTATCTGTAGTGGATGCCAAAAGCTCTTTTGATGTGGTTATACCAAGTGAAACATGTATTTTTCTGTCTCTTTAGATTTGCATTTACTTTCACTACCCTTTTTTATTGACGTGTTCATGAGAATAGCATGAAAACTATTAATGAACCAAGCCGCCGGTTTCGGTGAGCTTGGAAAACTTCTTCTAAACTGGAGCATATTTGAACAAACAATGACCTATGTCGTTCACAATAATGTTATGTTCTAATCCATAGAAGAGAGACAAACAATTCGGGAAAAAGCTGCGCATGCCCTAGAAAAAGGGATGATAAGGGTGAGACGCGGTAACGCGTCTCAATGTCCAACGAGGTGCGCAAAGTGAGACGCGTTACCGCGTCTCAATGTCGTCAATGTGTTAAAATGTCCCTCGCATATTTATAAGTTAATTGAATTTGGGTTATACTACTCAATAAACAATAGCTATTAAACACCCCATCTGTTTCAATCACCACCTCGGTGAACAGTGTGCAGTGTTCACATACTATATGGCTAGAGATCAAGATTATTTGTCCGTTCGCGGTTTCCCACGTTTTTTTAGAGTAGTAGTGTAATTGGGGGTTTTGTTGGAATGAGTCGGTGGAACAAATGTGCTGAGATCTACGGAAATGTATAGAATTTGCTATTTTAGATGATTTATCTGCCCTCCCCTTTAAAAAGCGAGAAAGTGTCGGTGCAGACCATGCACACACGTGAACGACGCCTTCTCCACAATCTTAATGGTTTTCGGGCCAAATGAGAATGATTACGCTTAGTTTTCTGCCAATGAAATGATTAGCCTGTTGCAGTTGTATTCTATCGATTGTCACTAATTACAACTATCATACCAGAAATCAGCTATCACTATGAACAACTTCTAACCAGATTTACTTGGAGGCCGTCGTCAGTTGTGGTGTTTGGTCTGCACCCGACACTTTCTCGCTTTTTGAAGGGAGGTTAGATCCTCCTTCCTCGACGACAGCTTCGAGAAATTTGGAGGGCGGATTTGGGTCTGCGTCAAGTGGTGGCAGATTCAACAGCGACGTGGTGGTCGATAGTGCAGGTTGTTGAGTCTGCCACCACAGTCCAAGTGGTAGAGTAGAGGGGAGGAGAGGGGGAGGGCGGCGGGCGGGGCTAGCTCGCATCACTCGCGAGCCAGACTCGTTTTTCTAACGCGTCTGTGGACGCCCACCATCATGGTAGGACTATAGAGAGAAGCTCTAGTAAGTCCGACAGGGGGGGCGGATTAAGGGGGTGATCGTCCAAATCCCAAAAATTCGGAAAAGTTTGTCTTATTGTCAATTGAACATGCAAATGGAGTTTCGCGGAACTTCCCTGGAACTTATTCTTCCACTCGTTGCAATGACTTACAAGGGGGTTCTTTCAGGAAATGGAGCGTTTTTTTTTTTCGGAAATGGTTTCCTGAATGTTGCAGATGCTCACGTGGGGAACACAGAACCATAACCATTTTTCTTCCATGAATGTGTTAAACACAGCGGAAAATGGTCCAGGTTTGAATCTCTGAGAAGACAATTTTTTGGCACATGTATGTTGGCGCACGCCAAACTGCAGCAAACATGACATCTGCCCGACGACGACGGCCATTTTGTGGACAATTTGGCTGTCGACATTTGCTACCAGACTTCACAAAAACGGTTTACAGCTTTCCATCACAAGATGGTGATCTATAATATGATATATTGACAAATTCAACAAAATAACACATTGAAAACAATAACAAGAACAATACTGTTAACAACATGACAACAAAAGCCACACTGAAAAACCGGCAAACCCCTGCAGTTGTTGAAATAAGCCAATAACCAGCAACCCTATCACTGAGATTCTCGTTTCTTTCGTTTCTGTCGCCATTTCTTCTCCATGGTATTTTTTATCGATTCCACGTTCTCTGCTGCTATGGCTTTGTCCATCCACACTTTCAGAACTCAATAGCCTATTAGTGTCGATCGCAAAGTCCGTAGCGTTTTCTCTTACTAACCCAATTCCTAACTAGAGAACACTCAACCACACGAGCAGTTATTCGAACACTTGCTAGTGCAACCAAATATGAATTTCTTGTAGCACCTCCTTTGCCGTTTCGACAGTTCTTTCGTTCATTTTCGATAAGAATCGAATAGATCTGTCCCAAGTAGCACTGCTCCCACACACTTAGGTCACGATTCTAGAATTCACAAATTTCAGTAATAGTCACAGAGGCAATACTCACATGAGGCAAAAATAAGTGACTAAAGAAAGTGGTTCGACCTGTCGGCACCGCCAGCATTGAAATGTTGCCCGAGCTACTAAGCAATCCTCGAGGAAACGCTAAACTGTAGGGCAACCACTTTTCGCAAAATAAACGTTGGTGGCCTTGACACCTCTCCTTCCTCCAGCCCTTGCTAGATGTCTCATGTACTCTAGTTTGATTCTTCCTTATAGAAGTCTTATTTTGGAAGTCCCAACTCCATTTCATCCTTCATTCCCGGAAGTCCGTCAAGCAAGAGTGCATTTGAGTGATGAAATGGTGGGCTCTAAATATCGTTGGAATTTTTCCAACATCTCAGGAAACACTGTCCACAAGCCTTCTTAGATCATAGGGGGATTTCACCAATACAAATCTCTTGATAGAAAGTCCCCTTCAAGGTCATCATTATCCGTTGAGCGCACTTGCTTTTTGGAACCACTCCAAGGGATAGCCTCAGCTCCATTCTCAGATCACACCTTGGAATTCTCTCCACAAAAATCCCATCGCTGTTCACTGCAGACCATAAGTGTGTAGTTACAGTGAGGACTTGGATATGTAAACGGTTACAAAACAAAACACTCATGAGGCAAACGCCACTCACTTGCTGATACGAAGCTATCCAATTAATGGCAGATCTCCTATAGAACAAGTCGTGTGCAACGGATGGCATTTGCACTGCTGCTTTCAGAATACTAAGAATCAGACGACGAGATACCATATCAATCATACAAGTTGGGAATAACGCCAGTAACAGTTTAATACCAGAACTAAAAAAAAAAAATTGAACAATATTCAAACCGCTGAGGGTAGTTTGTTGCACTGCACGTATTCGGCTTCAATGAAAAACTTTACGATGAATTTTCCCTGGAACTCTTCACAAGACAACAGATCTCTTTTTGATGTTATGGTTTGTTATGTTTATGTGTATAGCGATGACGGTATGTTCTATACCACGCAAGCCCATGTCAACTTTGCTTCGAATCTTGCAGGAGATACTTTTCACAGTAACAGCATTAAATACCAAATTGGGCTAAAATAGCAACCAAACAAAAACAGTTCTCTGATAACACACCGATTTTGAAGTACGTTGTAATCCAATGGCTCGATAAGACCCTCTAAAATCAGCGTCAACATCCACTCACGTTCTTGCTTATGGTAATCTGTCGATGAGCTGAGTAGCATTTTATAAATTTCTGGGACCTGAAAACAATCGAAGTTGACAATGCGTACCTACGGTACAATGAAATAAAAAAATATTACGTTGTTCAGGTCAATGACAGGTTTCAAAATGAGGAAAGAGAGGACAGCTGTATACACTGGCGACTCCGGGTGAATAATGAGTTTTGAAACTCGAGCAAAAAAGTGCGACACCACTAAAACAAAGTTCTTTATCATATTGAAGAAATCTGTGAGTAAAATATCGGTGCATCGTTGAGATTGATCTTTTGATTTAGGAAGTAATACAGAAACTTTTGAAGAAGAAGTTAAAATCAAGCAGCTCAGGCGGTGGTGCAAACTCGCCTAGCAAAAGCGGAAACTGAAGCCTGTGAAGGAATGCTGCGGCGCTTCCGTTTCAATACTTTGTTTAAAAACTCGTAGCAAATAAACATAAAGATTTTTATAGCGATCAGCAGCTGTATCAATGTCGAGTTCCTAAAGCAAAAGTTTATCCCTACAAAAAATTAACCAATCGAACGAAATCCTCACATGCAGCAAAGACAAGAACTTCTGCAGGACACAGTAAGCCAGCTTGCGAATCGTGACGTCTTTGGATGATGTGCATGAAAACGCCAGAGCCAATCCGTTTCCGCTCCACGAACGGGCGGTATTTCAACTAGAAAACAAAAAATTTCTCTCGTGAACAGTGTGATGAATAGAGTTTGCCATATGTAGTCAGAACTTCTCGTCCTTCATCTTATATATTCAATAACTGATTGAATCGAACTTCAATCTGACTTAGAGACTCGGTGGGAGTAACAAGCTAACTACAACCTCGACAGTAATAGCACGCAGCTGTCACTGGTTGGAGGGTTCGTTAGATTCGAAATTCGTACTATGTGTAAAGGGTTCAACTCGCCGCACTTTCTATCCCTCTCCAAGAAGCCTGCTCCACAAACTTGTGGAGCAGACTTGTGGCTTCAATATTGTGGAATATTATGACAAATACTTTCCAAACGATCCCCATCCCTCTCATTAGGGCAGGGCGCTCCTCTGGTCGGCCTGACTCGCAATCCCCTGCATTACTGCCCTGTATGTCTCCAGCTTTCCTGATTTGTCAGCCGGACTGAGGGGACACAATACAAAAACAGTAATATTCAGTAACCACTTTGTATCCTTTTCACACACATCATTTCGTAGAAACATTGCCCTCAGATCCACCAAGGAAACCTTACAACTAAGCATTTGATACTCTTCCCCCCCCCCTCCCCCCCCCCTCTCCCAACAAGGAGTCCGGTGGGCGTCTGACTTCAAGATTTATTTTATTTTATTTTACTTATTTGTGCTTGAACACGCCATAAAATTAGAAATAGCATGAAGTTAAAAATTCCCAACAAAGTAACTGATGCGATTACATCAGAGTGCTTCCCTAATGGATCTATTGAATCTACATATAGAATGGACCATACCTCTGACCCTGGGTGCATCATGCTCAAGAATAACCGAAGAAGGAATCGAACATCGTAGAGGACTTTGCTGTCATGAATCTCGCCATCCACGTCAGTCATTACTGGCCTCGAATGATTCAGGACAGTCTTCCACATACGCAAACCATCTAGAAGTTCCAGTACCTAACAACAGGCTGAAATTATTAAGCTGCTGAGCAAATCTAAGGTGATTCATTCACCTGTTCCGGAGTAGTACGATTGAGAGTTCCACCAAACTGGCCCCGTTTTTTATAGATTTCAACTGATTCCTCTCCCCAGATGATGGGCGAGATAATGCTGAAAACAATGAGCGTGATGTGGAAGAATCAGAAGTAAACCAGATTGAATGGGGAAGGTCTTACTTCATATTAACCTTGTAAGTATTTTCAAGCAAATCCAAGGCTTCGTAAATTGTGCAATCCTCCTCGGAAGTCGTTGCGCTGTACGATGTCATTATTTGGGTTAGCAATTGGAAATCTACTTCTTTTCGAACCTTTTCTCGAGTAGTAGTCTGTAATGACGTACGTCAAAGAAGAAAAAGAAGACGGGTGAAAAATATCTCACGTCATCTTTCTGGCTCCGCAGATAGCTTAATAGCATCTTCCTCCAGTCCTTTCTTGAGCACGGATTTAGCACGGCTTCCTTGACCGTTACCCAGTTCCCTTAAAAGCCCTGTTGATTCATGGAAAAGCAGTCATTAGGTAGCAATACCCTATTGTTTAGCTTTCCTCAATTTTGGCTGGGGCAACAACCACTAATGAAACATGGAATAGGCTGATTGCAAAAACCCATGATGTGAATATTCGATAACACATATTCACATTTGTAATTAATTGTTTAGGCCTCAATTGTATTTGTTTATTCATATATTTACCCAATCCGTCACACGAGACTTTTTCCCCAATTGAGCAATTGAGAAACATGGTAGGTTCGTATAACAACCCGGTCTTGATATAAGAGTTACAACGTAAGGAGTTTTAACTACAATTGAAGGAAATTCTCGTCTAAGAACCTTTTAGATTACAACTTATGTGCTCCAAAAACAGAGAAAAAATAAAAAGGAAAATAGAACACTCGATAGAGGACTTGTAAATGAAAACACTAGTACGATTACGTGCAACATTTGAAAAGCTTTTCAAGCAAAGAAATAATATTACGCGTGAAATGTGTTCTCGGTTAGAGTGATAAACCTTTTTAGTGACCTAAATTGTCTACTATAAAAGTCAAGAAGGGATGAATTATACCAAAACCGTATTTTACAGTCTTTACCACAGCGAAGTTTTCTAAAATAGTGGAATTGATTGTGGATATTTGAGAAG